GTCTACTGTGACTTTGTGGCTTGGCTAAGCAGAGCTCATCAGCACAAAGCTTCCAAGTTGTTTTTAGGCAGCCAAGCGCCAGAATTAATCTGAAGTCTGTGTGGTAGGGTCTCTGTCCAAGTAGACTTGCCAAGTTGGTATCCAACAACATTCTTGTCAGCTCTCATAGCACGGATCGGATGATTGTTACTTCTTGTCTGTTGCCAAAGAAATTTTGTTCTGGTGGGAACAGAAATTCGCATGTTAATGCATCTGGTACACAACAATAAGATTTTAAGGTTGTTTAATTTTTTTAACATGTACCTGATTTTGTTGTGTTCATTGTTGTTACTTTGCTTCTTTTGTTCTTCCTTGAAAGTGTCTGTCTGAGTTACTTGTTTGAAATGAGAGGAAACTACAATACAGTATAACATGAAAAAGGCTTTGCAATTTCACAATTGTTTTAACATGTTCAATTAACTGTACAATATCATTTCATATGTGAAGCACCACCTAAACGTACTTCCTTCTTTGGTTTCTTCTGGGAACTTTGTGGCGGATAAACTACTTGCTATTTAGATCAGAAAGATATTTAGTTCAAGAGTGTCACGCTTTAGCTGGTGATATGTAGACACTAATATATAACATTCTTCCCATTCATATGGATTGGTTAGGCAGGTCAACCTTGAGCTGCGCTGATGTAACATATGCCTTATCTCATCACTAACCAGCGGCTTCCATTATATCTGGTGGTCTATTTAAAACTGCAGCAGTTTGTGTTCCAGCGTTCCCTCCTTGCTCTGTCCAATTCGGCTCTTGCCTGCCACTCCGTATTGCTGCTATGCTGCTCTTGTAAGCTGATTTGCTGCTGCAATAATGCCCCACACCCACCCCAGCATCACCTGTAGGCTCCGACTGGGGTTAACGGTATTGTGCGCATCACTCGCTCTTTATGTAATACATATTCTGTGGGGAGTCGATAAGGGTCGGAGCCTAAGACGCCAAAATCTAAATATGCGTATACTGCTTTAATACTTTTCCCAAACGTGAGTTGGCTGGACTGAAAATCCTTTAAGGGTGGTTTACCTTTTGAAAGTTGAGCTCTGGAGCGAGAGTAGGCTGGAGGGCGAGAGGAGCTGGAGCGAGAGGAACTTGAGCTAGCACCGAAGAGCGATGCAAGGCTAGATGCGGAGCTGGATCTGCTCACAGACCTGGAGGAGCTGAGTCTGCTGCTACTGCTGTGAGAAGACCTGGAGCTCAGGCTTGAGCGAGAGCTACTGGAGCTAGATGAGGAGGATGAGGTGCTATTCTTCAGACCAGGAGCAAGGATTTTCTTAAGCTTCGTCAAGATTGGTCTTCCCTCAATGATTTCTTCTTCGCTCAGATTGATCTGTTTAATGAGCTTCTCTGCAGCCTTTGGTCCAACTTGAACCTCTATCTCCAGACTTTCAATGGCTTCCCCTTCAACTGAAAATGTCATTAAATAATGTCATTAATAATTGCTTTGTGCACACTTCTTCTACAAAATGTATTGGGTTCCTAGTACTTACTTGGTTTGAGAGAAAGAGCAACAGAGTGTCTTCCAGCCAGTTTGTACAGGGCAATGTCACTGATGAAAGCAGCATTTTCAGAGGTGATCTTGAAACAGCCCTTGAGTCCAACGGCAACAGCTTTAGCACAGTACTTCTTCTCAAACTGAGCTGCTTTGGATTTTATAATGGGCTTGACTGCCACATCTTCATGAATGATCTCTGAGGATTGTGACTGTGAAAAGAAAGATATCTTAATTATATTGTAAATGTAGATACTGTGGTAGTAATCTCAAAAGACAATGTTTAAAGCTCACCCAACTATCAGCAACCGATGAAGAACTCTTAGATGTGAGAATTTCCCTTGAGATGGTCTGCAAGATTTTGGCAGGGATGATAGGAGTGATTCTTGCAGCAGCAAGATCCTCAATATTTCTTGCCACAGCAAAAGTCTCAAGACTGTTGAGAGAAAAATAACTTCAAGCAGGCTCCAAAGATAAATATGTCAAGTGACAGAAGTTTCATCTTTTTAAAATGTCAGCCTTACTGCACAGCTGCAACATGTTCAGGTACAGAAACAGGCAGAGCTTCAATCTTAAAGTGGCCCTCATTGATGTTAAGTCTTGCTGTGATTTTGGCGGGCATAATGGAGTTGATTTTAGCTCTTGATAGCAGGGCAGCCTGGAGTATGGCGGTGTTTACTCCCATCGCAGCAAATGTGTTCACAGCAATGCTAGAGGGAGAGGGCATTTGTATGTTACATTTAATGATATGATACATTTCCCCCTCATCTTTTATTTTATTGTCAGATGTTGTTCCTACCTTGGTCTTATCTCAGTCTCAAGCTGAATGTCTGTCTTCAGAAGCTGAGCAAAATGGAAGTTTTCTGGAAGAGCTGGTGTTGTGGTGGCCCTGACTAAGAGAACAAATAAATCCATGGATCATTTAGTATAATACTTGGTTCCACTATTAGATTATATTGAAGTCAAGCACACTATTTTCCTTTTTCTTTGGAAAAGCAATATGACAGTGATAGACATTTGCAAAGAATGTATTTAGTATAGATGTTAATATTAGACTTCAGAAGATATATTTAAGGTATATATCAGGATTTACAAATAAATGTTTTTAAGTACATCATGAGTGATTCAGCACCTTTTTTGATCATGTAAACAACATTAGAGGGATAAGTGGAACTGTAACAAGCAAATCTGTGGATGTTTTCTAGTCGCTGCCTACCTTGAACAGCTGCGGCAGCCACTGCAGCAGTATACAGACTGAGTTCCATTGGAAGACCAGCAGCAGTAGGCATGATACGCCTCACCTCAGTTGCCAGCAGAGGTTTAACAAAGTGGAAGGAAGCACCAGACAGCAGAGCACTGAGGGCATTCCTTCCTACTGTCTGAACAGAGGGACCAGTGGCGAGCTGTAGAACAGGATTTATAAAAAAAAAAATTGCAATTAACCGTTTGTTAATAAATTGATCTTGAAGTTGACAGATAGTAATTTGAATTAAAGCCGCAAGCAGCATTGGGCGGGACCTCACACTCCACGCAACTCAGGGGTGAATTTGAAAATTAAAATGAAAATGGCCGACTTCCTGTGGGGTTTGGGGTATGGGTCCAAGAGGCTTTTTTGTACGTCTCGGCACGTTACACGTGCCTACCAAGTTTCATACATATCGGTGAAACGTGGCGCCGGGGCTGTTTTTTTTTTAATCCTGTAGGGGGTGCTACAAACACGATTTTTGGTATGTGAGCTACAGGCACCAGTCTACACATGTCCAGTGAATTTCATATTCATAACTATTACGGTTTCCGCA